GTATCAGCATCAGCTGCAGGCAGCCTCAGTGCCAGCAAGGAGCCTCTGCTTTAGCCTAGCAGCAACTCAAATCCTCTCAGCTCTTCCTTGCTTTGCTCTTAATGTCAGTTTGCTTGACTTCTTGGGAAACTGTGCATTAGGATCAGAACTGATCCTGTTTAAAGGGCCAGGCTAGGTAAAGTTCCTGGTGGACCCTCTGAGGTTTGGAAATCAAGGTAATACCCTGCAACAGTGACGGTGTCATTCTGATGTTCAGCAGTTTCCACCGTGACTTCTAAGACTAGGTGACTCAATTCAGGCTAAAACTCATCAGGGCACTGCAGAGGCAGACCAACAGGAAAAAGCCTAGGAATAATGCAGTGATTCTCTTGGGCCTCCAGGAAAATTTGAATTGAGCTCAAGTGTTGACCAAAGACATTTGGGGAAGGATTTCTTAACTGAAGATGGTATTTACATTTTATCACAAACATGTTGCCTGGATCTGTTAATAATATCCCTGCTGAGCTCACTCACGTCATAGCTTTTCTTCTGACCTCATTCTACTTCCTGATGTTTTTGTAGACAATTCCTTTTAAAGTTTTTTATGAATCTGGGAGGCTCACATGTACAGGTGATGAAGAGGTTTGCTTATTAAAGAGGACCACTCTTGACACTTGTTCCGCAACTACAACTACCACAATGGTTATTTGTGAGTTTGGTCCTTTTGAAAACCATGTGGGTGAACTCTGCTGAATCAGGTCTTCATATGCAATTTGACTGCAAAAGAAAGCTTCTACAATAAAAGCTTTAGCTAATCCCCTAGCATATTAAAATAGATAACTGCACAAAGTTGCAACTGAAGTTCAGTAACAGAACACAGTGTATTTTGATCATAGGTTCCATAACTTACTAGCTGGTAAAGGAGGTGCATAAAAGAATAAATTTCTATGATTAGAAAGATTTCATATTCAAAGAAGACCTCTTTGTCTCACTGAACTTAATGGCAAAATTCTCATTCCTTTTTGTGAATCCCAGAGCAGATTAGGCTCTGTTCTCATTTTCCCTCTTTGCATATCCTGTGAAGACCTAGAAATAGGAGAAATTTATATCCCTGTGGAATGAGATAAGTTTTCATGGAGAATCAAAGCATTTATGAGCATTTCCCTTATCAACCATATGTAACAGGATGGATAACATCAATGAATCAAGTGAGATTTCCAGAGTAAATCTCTGTATATTTGTTCAGGTAATGAAAGTACACCAGGTTTTGTCTCATTAGTATAACTTGCCAGAAATGACTGCATCTCTGTATCCCTGTCTGCTCCAAGATTTTAAGTCTGTGATCACCACTGCATGTCTGGACTGTACTAAAAAAACCTTACATGTTATTCACCTGCAGCAGGATGACACGGAGCTCACATCACCAAAACCTGGTAAGACAACACATGGAGTGTGCTTTCCAGCACGTTCAGAGAGCAGAGAACACAGTGTGCTCCTTACTAGAGGATTTTAAAACTATTACACCTCAGTAAGCAGACTGTGGATACTGTGTAAATAACTTGGTCTACAGTTCCCCTCAGCTCACTTAGCTCTCAATTCGCATGCAAGACAATGGTATAAACCTGCTACTTGAAATAGAAGAGGGCACACACATACACACACACACAAACTCTGAAGGTCAAATATACTGACTGGCCCCACTGGCATTTCTCAGGGTGCAGAAGCTTGAAGCAGTTGTTTTGGATTTACTGCTTGAATGCAGTCATTACTGGCTCTTTCCATTCCTGAATGATAAGTGGAGGCTTGTGATTCATCTGGCATATGAAGATCCCCAGGGTTTTTGGTAGCCGCACAATTTGGATGCTAGAATCTTATCTAGGCATAAATGACTACTGACATCATGGTTACTGGATTAGAGACTTTTGGGAAGAATTAGTTCCTCTTTCCTAATACTTTGTACAAAACAAATAATTCCTAAAAGTCATTCCTGTGTAAAACATCATTATCACTTGTGTATGTGATAGATACCTTTCAATATCAATGTTATTGACATACATAGACTATAGGTGGAAAAAACTCCAAGTATTTGTAAATCACGTGTTTTTGATATCTGGCCCAACACCAGTTAGGCCAATGTTGCATCCCTGTAAGTGAGGAGCACACTGAAGATGAATCTAGTGCCAAATCCTCCAGTTTTATCTTCTCCCTGTCCTCCTCACAGAGCTCCCATGAAGGAAACTCTCCTGGAAGCCTCATGGGACACATACTTCATCTCTGCATGTTATTCATGCTTTTCTTTTGAGCAATAGCATGGTGGTAACCCCTGCCAGCAAATGGAGGCATTTTGTTTCTGTGGGGGAGTAACTGAAATTTACACCTATGCATGTGATAACTGGTTGGCAGATGAGAGAGTTTACAAAATCCTAATGAATTTATAACACTCACATAAACGTCATTCACAGTATGTCTGAGGTCCTGTTGCACAGCTCTAATGAGAATACCAAACTTTTGCAATATTCAGAAGTCCTTGCCCCCTCTAACTAACAAACAGAAACCTCTCACCTTCTGCATGGCACAGTGGATCATGCAATATTTTCTTTTGGAGACTGAGAAGCTATTCACATAAGAACAGCGGTACTTGCTTAGGAAGGCGTGAGAGTCTTTTAAACAGTCATTTAGAAACTTTTAAAACATGTTTTCCAGGCAATTATATTTTTAAGAAGCTCTATTTGCTTAGTGAAGTAGTTTGCCAAAAAACAGATAAGCATAGTAAAGTGGCTCTAGTTAAACTCAGCCATATCTATGTATTTATATTTAAAGCTACATTTCTTCAGTGGGGGAAGGAACAGGAGTACACAGATGATCTGAATGCCCACTGCCTACTCCTATTAACTCTCTGTCACAGCGCTCCTTCTAATGGCTCATGAGGTATCTGCTAGTCTAAGAATCTGTGTTGACAAATGCGGAAAGAAAGACTCTGCAAATTCCCCTTACACACAAATAGAAAGGCATAGATACCTCTTCAAAGACCAAGTCATCTCCTGTTAGATGATTGTAGGGAGGATGAGAGGAATTATTTTCTGGAAGCACTGATTTCTTTCCAATTGATATAAGGCATAGATGGGCATACTCACTTAAATATGCACAACTGGTTTTTTTAAATCTTTCAGTTCTGTGAACAGAAAATCACTATAGTTTTTGGTGACATCCCTATGAACAAACTCATGAAGGAAATTTTAAATGTGCTCATGAAGGAAACTTCAAATTTATAAGCTCCTGACCTGATCCCATTCTTCAGAAAAAGTTTCTTTCCATCAATTCCTTTTACAGGACAATTGTAGTAAACGATTATTTTTCTTAGCTCTACCTCAAGATACCTAAAGAACTGTGTTACTGAGAAAGGGAGAAGTTTTTTTCCAACTATGGACTCAAAGTAGGTAGAAGGCAAGATGTGCCGCAAAGTTGGAATCATGTGGCACTAGCTCTCCCCTGTCCATGCCCTTTTTGTCTATAGGGTTTTCTCTCCACTTGCACAGAGGGGATAATATGTGGTATCAGTGATTTTATGATTTGATCCCCACATGTAGTGCCTATGTTGAGATATCTGTACTGTAAAGGTCCCTCACTTCCTCCCCACCCTTGCACAAGAGAGCCGCCCAATTTCCTCTGCGCACTGGCCAGGACTCTCATCCTGACCTACTCCGCAACCCAGGTTGCATCTTCTTTAAATGTTTCCTTTTTTTTTTTTTTTTTTAATCTGTCATTTTACCTCCCAGGCTAATGTCTTATATGGATCTTGAAAGAGAAAGTCTGAGCTGAGAAATGTGGCATATAATGTGGAAAAAAGCCTTTCTTATTTTTTATTTAGCTGCAGTTCAGAAAGGGACTACAGCAAATGCTTGAGAGCCAGCCAGATGGAAATTACTTCAAGTACTATCTAAAGTATATACTATATCAAGGTGCTTTTAGCATACCGTACTCATTAGGTACTTGTAACATTCAGCACTTCTAAGTGCTATAGTCTGACAAACCTTTCGCACAGTGCTCTGAAAAAGTCTATAATGCATTTTGACTCAAAGAAGTTTCAGCAAAAATGAACTTGAGGTTTTTTAGACAATCATCACATTCTCAGGGGAATGAAATACTACTGAGGCACTAACTTAGATTTAAGAACAGAGGAATACTTTTTATAGGCACATTTTAGGTCCGTAAGAATGTGATTTCAAGGGATTGCTTTCTCACAGTGAAATTAAGACAGTAGAAAGGCATTTGTTTTGTATTGCAAAACAAACCATATCAGTTGCAAGGCGTTTGTAGCTTGTTGGTCATAGTAAACACTACATTTGCTGATGAAAGGCAGAAGTTGTCTCAGTTTTGACATGAATATGAGTAATTTTTCTATATTTGTGACTTTGTACAAGTTAAAAATGTGAATTTTCACTCAGTGAAAACTGTGTGCTGGAGCACTTTAAAAAGTGTGGTGCTTATCTGTGAGATAAGAAAGTTTCATTCTACATATTCTTAGCTCAAAGTACCTGAGAACCTCCACCTCACTCAGAGTAACTGGGACATTAACATCTCTTCCCAAACAAAAAAATTATGTATTTTAAACCTGCAATGCCACATTCAATTTACAGAAAATGCAGAAAAAAAAATCAGGAAATTGGAAGGAATTAAAAGAAGATCAGTTAAAAAAAAAAAAATTAAGGCATCTATGTTATGAGATCACTACTTTGGAACAAATTTATTAAATCCAAGATAATACTAGGCACACATAGGAACCCACTGATATAGATCTCATTTAAGACCAACACATAACAGAGGAAACATACATACATGCATTACAACAACAACATGTAAGCGTTTTGAGAGTGTAAACACCACAAAGATACAATTTAAGCATGAGTGAAATTAACAACATGAGCTACTTGAAAATATAATAATATTATGAAAAATTTACTGATTACATCTAGGGAAATTTTTTTGGCTCTGGAATAACCTGAGAAAACAATGGGAACTCCTATTGTCTGATTTCTTTAAACAGAACTGAGAAAAAGCACTGGAAAAACATCTCTCAGAGAACAATCATTTACCAGGAGAGGAATGGAAAAATGAGTATATCATCTTAGATCATTTAAACTGTCCATGACTTTTATGATTCTGTGAAGCCATACAGCTGTCTTAAAAATTGTTACTGGAGGCCTAATTCATTGCATAATAAACACCCGAATACTTGTACTTATTAAGAAACATGATGAAAAATATGTAGCATTTTTCCTGTGGAAAACAATAATGTCCTTCATTTTCCTAGACATCTCTTTCCTTTACAGTTTATGTAGAGGCTTTTTTTGCAGGAAAGTAAGAGACGGTAAGGTTTTCCAGACTACGCAAATCTTCACTGATTGAGGAACCTGACATGGCTTTTAAACAATATTCTGTTCACACTGCAGGTAAGTATCTCTCCAATATTTGGGATCCTAGGAATCTTCAATGCTGAGTAGGAATATGTCAGATGAAAATTCAAGGAAAGGGGCTGTTCCAAATTTATCTCTTTGCAGGATGGAAGACTAAGAAAGGAAGACAGATCCCATGATGATAGCGAAAAAGTCTCAATATTGGAGTTCAGATGTTAATCAGCCACTTGTCTTCAGGAAGCAGCTAGAATGAAGCAGAAGACACCTGCTATTTAGTTAGCATTTGAGGCCAAATCCAGGTAGGAATCCAGTATGCTGCCATCATGACATGGGTGTAGCCTTGCTGACAGAAAACATGTCACATCTCCGTCTGTACTAAAAAATACGCAGAACTAAAAATACGAGAGTATGATGCCCTAGGTTCTTGAGTGAGGCCAAAGTCCCAGAGAAAGCAGGGTGATGCCAAGACCTCACAGAGGGCTTTGGCAAGGGAGAAGACCCACAGGGATGGGGAGGTGATGCACTGACCCCCAGAGGCCTGGGGTGGGTGAGCAGTCTGTCCCTCGAAATACCGGGGCTGAACTATAGACTTCCAGATGCTGGCACCTGATAATTGTCAGTCTAACGAGAAGGGAAGGCGCCAGCACTCTCACCAGCCTCCTTCCCTCCACCATCGCCTGCCCTTCGATCACCCTCCGGGACTGCTCGTGGCCTGCTGCATTCACCGGCCGCCCAGGAGGCAGCCGCTGCTGCACTGAGGGTTAAGCTTGAGCAGACGCTGAGATGCATCACGCCCTGGACTGGTGCCATGAGGAATAATTCAGAACAATAATAGACTGTCCCTTGTTGCATGGTAACTAACATAACAAATACAGATTAAAAGAAATTAATGATGATGGCTGCAATCAATGCTATTGTATTAGCTATTAAAATACTTAAGATCAGTATATGTATCCCTAAGGACAGCTTACCAGTGATTTTATTTTAACCTGCAAACATCTATCTGGAGAAAATGATTCATGTTAGTATTTTGCACTTTAATCTAGCAAAAAAAATCAAGTCTGCTATAAGTCAGTGATTATAACTAAGACTGAATAAATTCCAGCTAGCAAAGAAAGGATATTTTTTACAGTAGAAAATTAATCACCTCTGCAGCCTGTATATATATCTGTGTGTATGTGTACATGTGTGTGCACATACACAGGTGTGTATATATATATACATATATGTGTATACACACAGTGAAGTGTGTGTATATATATACACACACATATATAAATGCGTGTGTATATATATACACACACATATATAAATGCATATATACCATATATAATAATATACTAATGTATATTATTAAATAGCAATAATTACATTAACATAGCGGTGTCAAGATATTATATACTACATATAAAGAATTATAATATGCAACACATAGCATACATAATACTTAATGTATAGCATATTATATAATACTATAGGCTATATTTTCATAGTATAACACAATATTAATATAATATGATAAATATACATTATATGTGTATAATGTGGTGGTAAGCACTGCAGCAGCCTTTGTGTAAGACAAGTTCTCTATTGTGAAAGGCAATTTTGGAGAACCTCAACCTTTTGAGGAGAGGTTAGGAGCCTGATGAAGAAATCTGTGTGACAGATTATAACCTGGTGTTAGGAAATTAATTCAGGTGATCATGATGATGCTCTGAAATCATGACAGATGTAAGCTACAATTTGAGGAGAAATTGCTAAAAGTAATCAGCAACTGTCAGCTGTGCAGTGAAGCAGGCTAGTCCTCTCAAACTAGTCAAAGTGCCTAAACATCCAGATATGAAAACAAGACAATAAATCAAAATTGGCATTCAGCAAAGAGGACAAGAATAGGATGTGTAAGGAGTTGAAATTACATTTATCCCATGCAATGCCTCTCAGTATTTCTGATGTACATGACAGAGGACTATGCTGATGATTTATTGGTCCTATGGTTACCAATTTCTCTCATATAAAGGGAAGTAAACTGATTTACATAAAAGGTAAAGGAGCTGATGGCAACTGGTCAGAGTTACTACCTCTTTCACCAGAAACAGTCACTGAAAGAATAATGAATCTTTCATAGTTTACAAACAGTTCTCTTCTGAAGTTAAAGCACTTTCATCAGCAAAACCCAGTGAACTTTCTTGATGGTTAAGGAGTGTCAGCAGGATTTGGCAGCTGGTAACAAAATAACCAGAAACGCAGCATGGACAAATCGCCACATTACCCTCACAAAACCTTTATTTCTACTTGTATGAGGTCAAGGCAAAAAAATAAGAATCAAATTAATTATTAGGGTTACTTATTATGGTTACTATTTAGGGGTAGTCACTTTTATCCTGTCTAATTATACCTATGCAGGCTTCAAGTTTTTTTTTTTCTGTTGAACCATCCTGCCTGAAAACACAAGGAAATATATGAACATAAGCCTGAAATACTTTATGCTCTCTGCTATGAAGATGAAGTCATTAACATTGTTTATGATATGTACTTAAAATGCCACATGCAATGGTAAGGTTTACAAGAACAGGCCTAGACTAAAAATCAGAAGAAACAGTGAATAGTTCCATAAATCAGCAGCCTGGTACATCTTTACTAAATGCAGGTCAGGATCCTCTCTGATCCTTAGGACCTCCACCAATGGCCCAAGACCTGATGAAACAAAAACCATCTCATTCACCTTGATTTGTGGTGATATGGATAAGACTTTATAGACTTCTCAAATATTATACAAGTTGGCTTCTATAAAGTAATATTTTGACTCCCTTTTATGTAGCAGTGTTGAGAAAAAAACAGAGCAGTCATACTGCAGCAGGTTCTTTGTATCTAAATTACAATGTATAATATACATACTATACATATTATAGAAACCTCAAACAGTGCACTTGACTTTGCAGCCTTAAAATTCTGTAACATACTTGTGTGCAGAAAATATTATTATCCGTACATGTCCAAAACAGGAAAAAAATTATGTTTCTTTTTTTGCAAACCCATTGCTCCAGCAGTAAGCTGCAGCCTTTGCAGTGTTCTAGAAATACATAGGCAGAGACCTGTTCCCTTTTCAGTGCACCAGTTAGTGTGCTCCCGAGATAATACAGCCAATGCCAATTCATGTAAAATGAAACAATGCAGTATATGATGTTAGTATATTGTAGAAAATTAATACATAAATAAAAAGAGATAAATACATGCCCAAAAGCTTTGCAATGGAAAGTCTCAGACCTTGTGCCTTAGTTTCAGAGTATTGGTAGAATTTAACATGATTCAGTACAGCATGAGACTGTGTTAGCTCTCCAGAATATGAACTTGTGTCTCATCCTCTTCCTGTAGGACTTCTACCTGCCTTGTAAGAAGAGGTGAGCTGTGCCTGGAAAACTTGTTCTGTTTTTCCATTTTTTGATGCTGAAAATATTTGTTTATCTGATGCTTAGGAAATGCACACTTTGACTGAACTTCCTTTCTTATAAAAGACCTCAGTGTACAAGTTATCCTTTCCTTCCTGTTGCAAAAATATTTTGACTTGTGATGGTTAGAGTGGCTCAGAGAAAGCAACAAAATGTTTGCCAACATTATATATTTCTTCCTTCACCTCCTTGTTCTACCCTTAAGAAGAGGAGTTCACCTTTCATTTACTGTTGATGTTGAAAACTTGGAAATCTGGCAGTATTTCCAGGGTATGTTGAATACTCAAGATATCATCAATTCCTTCTTAATCGTTAACAAAGATCTCACATACTAAGTGTCATCTTGAAGTGCATATGTTATATTTGTGTTTCACTACCTTTCCTGGTCTTCCACTGGATTTCTGATGGAGCTTAACCTGTGAAAGACATAAATCCTCCCTCCAGAAAAATACTTTCCTTCTCACCCTATTTGCACAGCTGTGATCAGCAGTCTTTTGAACAGGTGGTCCTTGTCAGTAAGGGAAAGGTGCTTACTACAGCAGCTTGCTGGAATTCAGCAATTTCCTGGGCCCCCAAAACCTTTAGTATGATGAACTTCCAGGGGTATCCCACCACAGTGAGTAGGCATTTGGAGAAGGTTTGTGACTTTAGCTAGGAGGTAGGGAAATTTAATCATCTTGTATGTACTGAGTTTTCATCATTTCACTGTATTCCAGAAAGGCCAGACATCCTTATTTATCTAGTCTGACTTAAGCTCTTACAAAGGTCACAGACAGTTTGGGACCCATCCATTTGCTTGAACAAGTTGCTCGTGCCATTTTAGGTGTGGTACCTAAGATATGGCAAGGCTCATATCTGCGGGTGGCCCATGTTATTCTGAAACAAGAGCTGGATACTGGGTAGGATGCTTGGGTATCCTACTGCCATTTTAGACACTGATTATCAGATACCTGAGTCCTGAGTCCTAATCCTTTTTTTTTTTTTTTTTTTTTTTTTTTTTTTCAGAATGCAGTAGTTTTGATTCATCTTCCTCTTTTAGTGATCTGATAGTTGTTTGGGTTTTTGGTTTTGTTTTTTTTTTTTTTTTTTTTCCCCTAGAACATTCTCCTGAGATCTCAAACCACTTGCTCACCCTTGTACTGAGTTCCAAGTTTTTCTGTCCAGCCCTCTCTATATGAGGACCATGAATACTTCAGGAGCTCTGCTACATAGGCCTAGACTTTAGATATTTTTCCTTTAACTGTTTTATTTTATGTCCTTGTGTGTAAAACAGCAGCTGTATCTATCTCACCCAGCATACCACCCCAGAACTCATGAGGAGATTGTCAAAATATCACCCAATGCCTGTCACTTTTCCATCTTAACCAATGGCCTTAATCAATGTTATGGTGTGTCCCCAACTATATTTACATTTTACTAAATCAATAGGTCTCAGCAGTGGTTTCTGAGCCCTGAAAAAAGACCTCTAAATAGCATCCTGTGCCCAGCTTCCAGCACGTTCTCTGGAAAAAAAAGGGCTCCCAAACGTTCCCGGTCAGAGCTGCCAGCACAGCACAGTCCCCTTAGAGACCATAGAATGTTTAAAAGTGCATGAAAACTGGTTGGTAAGGTGCCTGTCTGGATCACATTTGACTTCTTTCACCTTGATTCTTTCCTGTGAGGGGATGGGTAACTGAATCTCCAGTCCTTGAGGTGATTTCAAGTTTTATACCTAAATGGTTTGCATGGCTTTGCACACTCAGCGCTGGCCATAAGAGCTAGTCTTAAGTTCAGCATGCTGAAGAACATTGCTTAGCCCCACAGCTCAGGTCTTCTGGGCATCTTTATTTTTGCTGGGCATTTCATTCTGTGACTGCCTGTTGGGGTTTTGTCTTTCTCATGCATGGTAAAGTTGTTTATTTATTTAATACTGAATTCTTGGTCTGCAGAACTGTTTGTTGCCTTTGTTCTTTGTGAGCCAAAATATACCTTACTGTTGACGGACAAGGGTCATTCAGTGACTGTGTCAAGAGTGGGAGAGACTTTAGTGAGAGAAGGTCAGAAGATGAGTTATTTAGGGTGACTTCCTCCCTACTCCTCCTCTGTTTCTCCCAGCAGCGGCACCACATGGAAACGGGTGTACGTGTAGGAACACACTGGCATGTGGAACCAACCCTTTCCAGGAACAATGTCAAAGTGGGGCTACCTGAGGGTGGTTAGATTTTCTGACCTTCATTCTGATTCATAGCAGTTTGGGTCAGGGTAAATATGATGTTGTTTGTAATTAAATATGTGCAACAGTAGACACCTCCTCAGAGCTCCTCTGTTGCCCGCATGGTGAGCCCCAGGCAGTGCCATCTAGCTCAGAAGAATAAACAAACCATTCAAGACCTTTGTTTGCCCGTGAGTCATGAGGGGGCTGCTCACTGGAGTATTAAGAAAGATAAACATATGGCAAAACTCTAAAGACTATTTCTGGAAACCTTGACTGGAGGGAACAGCTAATCCATTGTTCAGAGTCTGGAGAGTATTATGAAGCTGGAGAGAGGAATGGGAGCAGGAAAGAGGCAAAAAAAACCAAAAATCCGAGAGATCAAAAATTCAGAATGGTTGTAATTACCCATGTAGGCACAAGGGCTTTGTGGGAAGAGAGGGATGAGTGGCACAGGGGACTTGTGGGAGAGGTTGGATCTGTGCACAGTCATAACAGGAGGCAGTTGTTATCCGTCTCCTCAGGAAGTAAACAGGCAATATCATGCATTATTTGACTGTTATTCCATAGGGAAAGAATATTGGTTAGAGATGATTAACAATTATTTGCTGATTGCAGTTAGTAGAAAGCCAATGAGTCATTTCCTCCATATGCTCCAGCTGAAGGGCCAGAGGGACTATTATACCTGAAAACGCAAAGGCCTCCATTTTTGTTGTCTGCATGTTTTTTTTGTTTTGTTGAAAAGGAACATCTCTTTAATTTCTATTTTAGTAGTTTCATTTATTACTGTAAATGAAAACATCACAGATGTATGCAGAGATTGGGGCATTGCGTGAAGTGCTGCTCAGGAGAAGCAATGCAACAACCTCAGTGTTTTCTGAGGTACAGACACGATCCCAGTCCTCAGGACAGTCTCCAAAAGTCTGTGAGGCACCTCTGCACCTAGCAGGGGCTGGTCCAAGTGAGTCCCTGTGCCTTTTTCTATTGTACAGAAGAATAATGTGCAGTCACAAAAATGTAATCAAATAATTTCAGGTGTTCAGGGGAGAAATAGACCTTCCACCTTTAATTATATTGGTCAAGCTATCTGAGGTGAAACTTACCTGTGAAGACCTTAACAATATACTGGGCTGGTACTGAGCTTGAGATGGCAGCAAGGACTGATGTAAACAGGACAGTACCTTTTAGTGGTTCTTGGTGTAGTCAGGCACTTGTGAGTTGGATTATGTTTGAAGTCAATAGGTAACACTAAATTGGATTATGGTTATTTTCTCTAAATAAATTTGAATGAGTTAGAGTTCAGGGAGATAAGTAGTGTTGGGTACTGGTATAGATGTGGCTTCAGTTTGAGTTCAGGACTGGTAGACAGCAGCCTAGAGATAAAGATGGGTCTTTTGAGGGGTGCTGTTCCCAGATTAATCTGATGGATTTAGTCTTAATCCTAGCTCCAAATTTCTAGCTGCCCTGGCCTTAAGTATTATCCCCAAGACACTGGCTGACTCCTAACCTACTCCTCTCTCACAGTCACCTGCTACCTCTAACAATATTTTAGCAAAAAAAGTCATGCATAGTTATAATCCTAAATTAACCAGTGCCTGCAGTTTAACCAAAACCACTCCCCAGGCCTGAACTTCAGACCATTTATTGTGACCTGCCCCTGCAGTTTTATCCCTGGCCCGAGGTGCTTGCTGTGCCAGGTCCTAACCAGATCCCGAGACTTCTGCTCCTCTGTGCTCCCCCTGGTCTGCACCACAAGCAAACTTTGATGGTGGCCCTGACACAAAGCTGCTTGCTGACCTGCAGCTCCACCAGCCCTGAGGCTGCCCTCTGACAGCACTGCCTACCAGCCCCAGCCAGAGCCCTGCCCGAAGTCCTGCACATTAACTTGTACCCGTAACACTATAATCTCACCAAAATTTTGCCAGCCTGAAGTCACTTATTGGCCCAAGAGCTAACATGTTAAATAAAGAGGCCCCACTTTCAAACCTGCCAGCTAGATTCAAGAAAAAGTGGGTATGGTCTGTTATCTCCAAACTTTTTATTAGTGCAAGACTTCCTAACAATCTCTTCTCTCATGCCAGAGCCAGTTACTTCCCTGACCCACTCACAACACTGGTTTGAGTCAGCTACTTCTGCAGCGCAATACTGCCTGATTCACCAAACCCTGACTGTATGCTCTGTGTTGGATTCATCCTCAATCCCATCCTAAAGCCATCCAGTAGCCTAAATTCTAAACCCAGTCTGGCTCAGTTTAGGATCTGGTCCAGCTACTTCACTAACTTCAAACCTACCTCCAGCCCTCTGCTTCCTTCTAGTTCTTATCCGATCTAACATCGTCAAGGGCAGTAGGTATTTACTAAAACTAACCGAAACTATCAAGTGACGTCCCCCTACCAGTTTGTTGTGGTTTGAGCCTACTCAGCAGCTAAACGCCCCGCAGTCGCTCACCCACCCTCCCCCCACTTGGGAATGGGGAGGGAATCGGAGTGGCAAAGGGAAACTCGCGGGTTGAGATAAAAACAGTTTAATAATAGAACAATACACTGACAGCAGTATCAGCAGGTAATGTACCATACAGCTGCTCACCACCCGCCGACCAACACCCACCTGCTCCCGGCCAGCGATCCCCAACACAAAGGCCCCACAGCCACACCCCCGGAAGTGAGAGCCCCTCCCACCTCACTCCTGCCTTTATATAGTGAGCACAGTGTCACGTGACATGGACTATCGGCCAATCGGGGCCCAGCCCTCCAGCTGTGCTCCCCCCGCCCCCGCACACAGGTGAGGGCACTGGGGCCTGGGGAGCCCCTGGGGTCTCAGGGGGCTGCAGCTCCTCCCGCTGCCAGACCAACGGGAGCTCTAGGCCAGCCCCAACCAGGACAAGGTTTCAAACTGCCTTACATCTAATGTTAGGTCTAATACTGGTTAAAACCTAAGCTCCAAATAGCTTACGAATAGGTCACCTATGGTTTATCTCTTTGCTACCCTGAGATCACCAAACAAGACAAATCATAAACCTGTCACTCAGCCACATACTGCTTCTGCCTGAAACTTTACACAGAGGCTACCTACTGTCTCTGAACCCCAGGCCAAGGTTATTGTTAGACATAACTTTATTCCTAACTCTTTGCTTTTCATTAGTTCCAATCCTATCTGCATCTTCATCTGTTAACTCCAACAAAAAGTTGCCTACCAGCCAAGTCCAAACTCTGTCTCAACACAGCTTCTTGGGCTGTCAAAGTGTAATGTCATTCCAGCTCTTTGTGGAGAACAAGATTTCACAAATCTCACTTGATTTGAATTATATTTCAATACATAGGCATAAAAAGGCAGTACAGAAAGCAGAACAAAAGTCTGTATTTGAAATGGAATTTGCAGAATGAGCACTTAGGGGAACATTGCTGTCCTAATAATCCAGGTTTTTTTTCCTATTCTGAAATAGAATAACAACAATTTCAATATTTTCTCCCTATCTACAAAAAAGGTCTAGAATTATTTTTGTCTGTTTTCCTAAGGAAAATGGTTTATCATATTATTGACCTGGCCTATCTATTTGATCACTTCTGGTATCTTTTGGATGCATTGACTAATTTCAACCTGACTTGTCCAATGTTAAATTTTAAAGTTCTGTGGAAGCTGGTTAGAAATGAGGAAGTTGGATGAGTTCCTTCTAGAAGGAGAGGGAAGCAGAGCTAAGCTCTAGGAGGTTTTGACTGGCAGCAGCTGACTATTCAGTCAGAAGAGGGACCAGACAATAAACCATCATTTATATGTTTCTGGATGAACTATAGTCCATACTGTCTCAAGTCTGGCACAGCTATCATAAGATACAGGAAAAAGGGAGTGGAGAGTAACAGGGAAGAGTGGTGAATAGATAAAGATGATTACTTAAGAAGTTTGATTTATTTTGTACTAAAGCTCCCAGTAACATTTTGGGGAAAGGGGAGAGGAGTTTCAGTGCATGTAAATCAGGACTCTTTCAGTAATTGTGATTCCAGGGGCTAGGACTTTTGAAGGGAAAAAAATCATTAAAATAATGTAGGAATGGGCAGCAATGAACAGGACTTCAAGCCATTTGGGGTAAGAACTGTTTTTATTTATGCATCCTAGCACAATGCAGACCCTCCTTACTCAGGGTTTTTACATGCAGCTGTTATTAATAACAACATTTTGTATCAGAAGAGTAATAACAGTACAAATGAACAAGTAGCTTTTACTCTACTCTCATTCTATAATTACCTAAAATCTTTGGAAACACAGAGGAGGGAGCAGGTTATGTAGTTGTATTTGCAGCTGAGGTTCTGGCAGGAAGCATTAATGGCACAGGGCTCAGTTATTATCCTTGTGTGAGTGGTGTCCCCTCACAAAAATAGACAGACTCCGCTGTCTGCAGTTAGCAAAGAGCAGCTGAGGGAAGCAAAACAATCTGTGGAGATGGTCAGCCAGGAGTATCCAAGGGTGGCTGGAAGGGGAGGCAGCGCTTGGATAAAACCTTTGCAAACTTAACAGAAATGTCAAGGTGACAGTGTCCCCTTTACTGACAAAGATGTTTACCTTCAGCTGCTTCCTCTCTGTGAACGGGGCTGCAGGCAGGGCTTCTCATCCTCCTCAAGTGACGGTGGCTGCTCCTGTGCTTCCATTGGTCTGCCTGTGCCTACATCCTTTTCCTGGGGAAACAGAAGATATGGGCAGGAGAAAAGACATATTTGGTAATGTTTCTCTTCAAAGCGTCTTTTTCATAAGACTGCCTCAGCTGCAAAATGTTAAGGGGGAAAAAAAAAAGACCTTGGAACTAACTCCAGACAGACCCTAATGCCTACAAATTTGTCTAAGTAAGCCAAGTCCGGGAAGGCAAAACATGAAGAAGGCTCATTATTTGACTGCTAGGGACACTCAAATAACCAGACACACTGATACTTAAGATCTTCATATTTCAGACAGCTCGTCTTTCATATCCTCCCTCACCCTGCACTCCCACCCTGCTCACTTCTTAGATTTCCCTTTATCCCCAGTAACTGCTGCATTTAAAACTGTTTCTAGAACATATAAAATACAAAAATATTCTTTAAAATACCTATGGGGAAACAGTCTGTTCATCTAATGGTGGAGGCATTCACAGGTCCCCTAATTCCTTCAGCTAGCTGCTTGCACAATCGTTTTTCGTTCCTCCCCAGAAAGTCCAAAAGAGCTTGGCAGATCTCCTTCTATTTTGTTTTAGTAAGAATTTACTAAGGAGGGGCAATGGAGCTTAGAGCATTGTGTGAATGTCTCCGATTCACGGTTCTGCCAGAGCTGTCCTTAGGGCAGGAGATAGAGTGACTGCATGCAATTTTGAGGTTTCCTGGGAAGTTACTTCTCTCCAAGATGTTTTAGAGCATCACCGGACTGCTAAATTGACAGCCACCATCTCTGGCCAGAAGAAGGGGGAATTTATGTTCCCTCCATTCAGTACGTATCCAAGATAACCCTGGAGACCTGTGCAGGACAAAAATATTCACAAGTTGTAAATTAATTAATAAAAGCATTTTTTTAGCCATTGCCAAGACAACTCACAAATTCAGCCAAAATCCCTGACTAGTTTTAGCAGGGCAAAGATTGTACTTCAGGTGTTCACAAATGTACAGGAGTAAAGACAAAGGAAATATTCTCAATCTAACCAATACTTTTTTCAGTATTACCTACTACAATTCAATTGGTCCTTACATGATTTATGAAAGTATTCAACTTTAATTTCTCATTCTAAAGTGGATTTGACAGTCTGAAATGGTCTATCAGTGAACATTCAAATATAATGGTCCTTTCCTTTTTTTTTTTTTTTCTTCAAGACTAAATTGATTGCCTGTAAGATATAAATTGAATACAGTAGTGAACAGAAACTGATATTTGCTTTTGAAGTTGAAATCAGAATTAGAAGGATTTTTTCCCATAGTTTCCTTAAATTTAGTTTTGTTGCTCATGGATTCTTATTAGTATGTGTTGGTTATCATCCACAGTCTCTTCCAGCCTCTAGAAAGCTTGAATTTGTCCCCAAACCATGTACTATATTCAGTCTAATGAATGAATCCAGTACAACATTAAAACTTTAAGGGGTGGTTAGCATGCAGACACTTTGCGTTTGTATTTAATAATGTTTATGATACTGAAATAATAGTTATTTTCATACATTTTAGTGCCAGAAATGGCTATTTAAACATCTAGTTTCACCTCCCATATAAAGCTGGCCATAGAATTGAATTGTTTGGCTAACAAATGGTAGACTTTTACAGCACAACTGAGTAACTGCAGCTGCTAAGTTACATAAAACATAGTTTTTTTCCTTCCTTCTCCAATGGGCTGATGAAGAAACTGTAGTCTAGAAATTATTTTGTAAGAATACTGTTTATAGTATGAGTAGGACAGACAGAAATACGAGAAAAGCTCTGGGGCTGCCAAAAATCTCAGTTTTTGGAAGAGCAGCCCTTGGGCTTTGAGAAAGTACTGTAGGAAAAATGTTATTGAAATGAGATAATTTCTGTCTCACTACAAAATAATTATTCCCTGACATAAAAAGTATTTTGCAGACCCCCTCCAGCCCTCCTTGCTAGGGACAGGCAGTGTGGCATTGCCTCTTCTTTCTAGCTGTGCAAATTCCTCTCTCCAACACAGATTCCAGAGTTTGGGGAGCAGCTGAAACCCTGAGGTTGTTCCAAAAAACTGGCAGTTTATGGTTGGGCTTAAATCCTACTTTATTTGTTAGCCTTACCTATTTTACTTTATGGGAGAAACAAAGTATATAATATTTTTTCCTTTTTCTGGCCTGAAGTTGCAAAAGGACTTTTTAGTCCATGCAGAAGGCTATCTATGATTATTACACTAAGGGATCCTAATGGCAGCTATGCGTTACACAGCAGTGGCTGTGACACATCATCCTCCCTATTCACTGTATGGTTTGGCGAATGATCTGTGTACTTACTACTGTTGAAGTCAGAGACAAAATTCGCCTTTCTTTCTGAGGTAAGAAGTCTGGACCAGCCCTATTTCCTCCCCACAGCTAAATGTTCCCCATACAGTGATACTTTTATAAAAGGGAACTAGTTTAATGGGAATAAATGTTGACACTTCTCATTTTGTTGCTTCATGAATCATCATGTTACATTTCTGTTCTCTTATTCTTTGCATCACAGGCTCTCTCACACTTCATACTGTGTTTTTCAGACAACCCAATCCACTGAAGAAAGGAGGATCAGTCAGCATTTCCATGGGCCAAAATCACTCAACATTTATTAGTGGTGTGTACAGAAATTAAACTTCAGTGTATAGGATGTGATCTGGCTCACATATATCCACAATACTAACACCAGCACAGGAAGACGTCACGTGAAGAGAAAGGGTGAGGGACCATCAGGACCTGGTCTTTTAGCTGCAGTTTATGGTTATAGCAGCAAGTTGAAATAAGTGATTATTTCCCTCTACATGGCACTTGTGAGGTTGCACCTGGAGTCCTGCATTCAGTTTTGGGCTCCCCAGTACAAGACAGACATGAACATACTGTAAAGAGTCCAATGTAGGCACACCAAGCTGGTCAGGAGCCCAGACCACATGATTTGCAATGAGAGGTTGAGGGATACGCATTTGCTCAGCCTTAAGGAGAAGGGGCTCAGGAGTGTCTGACTGATAGTGTCTAACTACTTAAAAGGTGGTTGCAGAGAAGATGGAGCCAAAGTCTCCCTGGAGGTGCACAGTGACAGAGTGAGAGGCAGTAGGCACAGGTTAAAACAAATGATCAAATTTACAACACACATGGAATATTATAGTGTGAAGAGTAGTGATTCAATTAAATACCTCTTATTATTGGGAAATGGTGATGTCTGGAGACATATCTTGAGCTGTCAGAAGACTTTGGGGCCTCTCAGTCTACAGATAGTTAAGATCAGGAGAACTGGACATATGTGAGGTCTGTCAGAGGGCTGCCTTTGTGCCAACCTTAGACCACTTCCAGAGCCTTCCCAATTGTATGAGAAGATAGGGTTGGCTGAGATCAAGGTAACTACAGGGTCTGTAGGTGCTGCTTTGTAAAGGTAGGCTGAAGGGGTTTGATGTTTGCCCATATTCTGTCTGAGTGAAAGGAGCAAATATGTTTTTTTTTTCCTGAACATCATTAAAGAGTTTTGATACTTATGGTGGGAGAGTGTTATTTGTATGATGCATATTGTCAAGTGCTAGAAGATGGGTATGTAGTCCTTGCCTCATCCCCAGCCTTTCCTGGGTAAATTGAGGAGAAGGTCCAGCACCAAGAGGTGTGTGGTAGGGCTATGTCTGTCACCGCTGTGGAAGCTCCACAGAACCCCACAGGGTGGAGGGGGTAATGCAGCCCCTTGGGAATGATCCCACAAAGGGGAAGAGATACGGCTATTCATGCAGCGTGCCCATTCTTTGCTGTGCACTGCATTCATTTATTGAACTTCAGAAGACTTGTCAGCTCCCATATCTCTTAAAAAGTATGAATGGTTAATTTACTTCTACAAACTTGCATCTATTAAATTTCAATCTTGAAATTTCTTACCCAAAAAGCTATGAAATTTTAGACATACAGTTATATTTGTATAGAGTACAAATCAAGAGAGATATAATTCAAGCATTTCCTCAAGAAGAAATATCTTTGAAGGAAATGGAGAGCAAAGGTAAGCTTGATGAGCAAAGAGCTCAGTGATTGCCCTCTAGATCTAAGGATCATCAATAATTCAGCATGATCTTTCTTAAAACATTAGTGAATATGAGACATGGACATTCTTTAGGAGCAATCAGTGGACACAAGAGTGTAACAATCTATAAGACCATCCATCAAACTGATTAATGTTTACAAACATTATTAAGGCACAGGTTTTCAGAGGCCTTACCCCACATACATTTTCTGACACCGTATCAGGAACTGTGGGTCCTGGAAACAAGACCACTATCTGCACCCAAGTGAGTGCTATATTCGTGTTTCCATGCTAGGATATGTATGAGAAGCATATTGTCCACTACTGTAAGCCCTGTGCCCCTTATAGGGAGGAAATTGAGGCTCAGAGTCCAGATGAGAGTCACTGGCCAGGCCACCAGTCCAGCTGATGGGGGAGCAGGATGATCGGGAGCTGTAGAGTAAACCTTCCCATCACTGATTATATATATGTCTTACCCGATTTTATCTGCAGTGCACATAGACAAAAGTAGAGCTTTCCATCAAATGACGCATCCTAATGTGGACTTCTAAGTCATTGGAAAACAGGTTACACCATTGAATGACGACTGCTCTGTGTTTAAAAAATATTTGCAGTGACAAATATTCTTAGAAGTAATCCACTTGGGACAAAATATCTGTCTGACATGCTATAGCTGTGTGAGACAGTAACACGTGAGTCTGGGGGTCTACTTGAAGAGTGTACATAGTATCTAGATAGTTAAGATAATCTGGAGACACCAGACAACTTCTGAAAACCAAGTACAAGAGATTCTCTCATCTGGTAATTGCTTACTTGAATGAGGAAGTTTTGAAAGCTTTATACATTTATTCCACAGTTTGGCAGCAGTGGGCACAAAAACTGGAATGAGCTGACCTTTCCAACTTTTATCAAACAAAGACAACCTCTGTGCCTTCCCTGCTGTCTCCTCATCTCTGGCCCCCACTCCCTAGAGAAATACAGGACTGATTCACTTAATTTTCCTTCCATTTTTTTCCCTTCCTTCAGTTTGTTTACTTTACCACTCTGTACCTGTTTTTAAAATGCAAGTTACGATTGAAGTTATTCCTTGCTCCTGGGAGAGACAGATGGACTCAGGGAACCAGACCCATGGCATCTTCCTTGTGCAGGGTGACAGAAATAGCTCCTATGAAATATGCTGTTTAACTAAACACAGATGGTCTCTTCATGATGAGACATGATGAGTTAAGAAGATGGGCAATACCACACACACACATAAAGCAAGTAACTCTGAGAATGACAATTCTCCTTTAGGCTGTAATTACATGGAAGACAGCCTTTCTGTGAAATCAAGCTGTGCAGGCATCAGACTCGAGGATGCAGTGTAACTGTGAATTATGCTCTTCTCAAACTTCCATTAGGTACATTTGGGAAATTCCACAGAACTTGTTGCAGACCTTGATCTGATGATTTGGTTTCCTGAAGGTGGGCATTCTTTCATCT